CATCGCTTGGGAGTGGTCTATGCTTGTTCGAAGATGGCACTTTACGTTGTGCGGCCATATTGAGCGGACGCCAGCGCAGAACTGTCCGCGTTTCGTATCGCAATCCGTTTGCATCGAGTTATTATTAATGTACTCCGATTAGATAATTAAGTAATTCAACAAAATAACTGATTTGTGATCTTATTTCGAAGGAATATCTCGACCACTAGTCAGATTGCGGATGTTGACTAACCTAACTTTCCACCGGCCCCGCATGACTTTCCGACATCAGAAGTTGGGATGTAACCTACCAAGTGGACTCATAGATGTCATGAATATGGAGAATCTTATTGCAGTAACAAAATCAAAACTTTCTCGCCCTCATCTACGTCATGACTGGGCCGTCGTCGAGTGACATGTGTCTCGCCCGAATTTGATCCTGACAAAATACAAGAAGAATTACTTGAAGTCTTCGTAAGAAGAACCAAGCGTTCCTAATATGAAGAACAGTAATCTGAACGCTGCTGTCACGTTCTTCAATTGTGGAGCAGATGGTCACTACTCTCAAGATGCCTGTAGCTGAAGAAGATGCAACGGTGGCAAGCCTGATGACTCGTCTGCTGGTATTGCTAGTGAGCGACGTGTGGTCGTCTGCACTATTGCTACCCTTGCTAGTATTTTGCAGTATTTTGGTGAGTCGTTTTCATTTTGTTTTGATACTAGAGTCGAGTGCTCCCTTATAACCTAATTAATATCGTGAATAATTCATGGCAATCGAATTAGTAACACTACTAAAATAACTAGTATTGGTGATAGAAATGTTTATAGTATCGTGCATATTTAAGTTTTGGTTCAGATTGACGATATTGTTTTTTTAATTTCTTTTTCATGTTCTCCTGGAACTTCAACTAGTTTTTATTTGGTAGTTCAACAAAACTTATTCTTTGTAACTATTTTTCTCTCCTTTTTTTATTTGTAAAGCAGTAGTATGTAAGTTGCTCAGGTTGTTTACATCTTCCGGGCCTTCGTAGTCGTAGGCGTAAATCGGGCTAGATTTCCCGTCGCATTGCGGCCACGTTTGTGAGTGGCGTGCGTTGGCTAGGAGATGTAAACGATCGCTGTTGGTTCGTCGCATAGAGACGACGATTGTGTATGGGTACCGGATGGAGGTCACCCGTGGATGTGTTGTGTTGTGGAAGGGTACCGGATGGAGGTCACCCGTGGATGCGTTGTGTTGTGGAAGGGTACCGGATGGAGGTCACCCAACCACGTGATTGTTTTGTGATGATCGGATGGAGGTTGTCACAAGGTGCTGGATGGAAGCATCTGAAATTATAGAGTATTGCATACGACACTGTTTTACTATGTAATCCATAATTATCAATTTGATTTAAAAAGCTAATTTGTCTGATGAGTTTCGTTGAACTGTTAGTGATCGTTTACGTAAGATGCCAGAGGGACATGTACCAGTCGAAGTCGAAGTGGAGTTTAATGAAATGTCTGATGATAATAAATTAGTTTAATTGGTAATGTGAATGCGGGTAAGAACTCTACCGGCCGTAGAAAGTCGACCGTACTAGTAACTAATACGTAGCCGTAGCCCGTTGGAAGTCGGTGTCTCTTGAGGCAACTCAAGTAGTCCGTGGGTGTGCGGTGGGCGTGTAGTACTAGCGGAGGTCGTGGTCTGTATAGACCGTCTCGTGTGTAGTCTAAGAGAGATGCACATGTGCGATTTACAATGGTAAATGCGCGTCTGTGTGAGAGAGTTGGTGATGACTCGTCGGCTATGGAGGCCGTGGCGGTAGAGATATTTACTCGGGTATTTTGGAAGTTAATATGTTAGTGTTTTAAGTTGATTTATTGCTAGATTGTTTTGAATTATTGTGAGATAACGATGGTACATGACTCTTCACAGTTTCAAATTTAATTTTAATAATGTAATTTAATGAAAGTGTAAATTGATCAGTTAACAATCTAAAGAAACTTAAAGTAAAAATGGTCTCTAATTATTAAAGTTTCGATTGGTATCAAAATCTTATTCTAGTTGAAGTCAGGACTGACCGAGTAAAGAATCTACTGCGCTGCATATTTTCCCTTTCAGATTGAACCCCCACGTGAGGATGCGTGAGGCTATCAGAATAGCCGTTTCGCAGAGCATCTCCATCACCGTTACGAAGATCATTTGGTTTAGTTTTCTTTTTTTTTAATTTTTATTTACTCGATTACTTAATTACTCGATTGTAAAGAGGACATGATCATCGATACTTTTAATTTTATAAGAATGGTAGCACTGACTTTGACAGTTAGATAGTGTTAAGCAAGTTGCCGCCATTTTGGCACACATGAGTCTCTTATGCATTTGGACTGGGAGAAAACTATGGAAAAGCTCTATAGTAATTATTGGTTTGAAAACATGTTAAAATATGTTCGTAAATTCGTTGACAACTGTATCACTTGGTGACGTGACTGTTTGTGAGGTATCGTCACTTGGAGGTGGCATGAGTTACATCACTCGTATTAGGTGATGTGACGACTGTTTCTGGGGTATCATCACTTGAAGGTGACATGAGTTACATCGCTCGAATTAGATGATGCGTCGATTGTGATTAATAGAGTTGATGATGTGCAGAGTAGAGAGAATGATTAAATTTGACTGACTGACTGAAGTGACTTCGTTTTGTTACAAAATTAGGAGCGTAATCAGACCAAACTAGATCCGAAATACAAGGGATCGTTTAAGGTCATGGAGTTATTAGATGGTTATCGTTATTTGTTAAAGGCAAATTCTAAGAGGACGTACAAGTATGTTCATGATAGACTGAGAAGGATGCCTGAAGGTCAGTTGGTTTTATAAGAATTGTGGATCAAAGTGATGATCCCGTGTTCGAAGTTCCTGGCACATCGCGTGATTAAGTTGGGTAAAACTCGATGAAGGTATTACTTGAGCGATCAATGGAGATGCTCATGGGAACAATGCTCGATGGAGACATTAGTTGTTTATGTGCTCGATGGAGGCACTGATAGTATAACGCTCGAAGCAGGAGTTTAGCTTGTGTTGTTAGAGGCACGAAGAGAACATAATGCTCGATGGAGGCGTTATGTGTCTTGATGTGTGCGTTCTATCACTGTATAGAATCGCGATATGTGTTCAGTTGTGTACTGATGAGTGTAAGACTTGATTTAAAGTTTGAACTTCAGATATCCTTCGAAGTTGTACTAAGGCAGTATTTGATCATTGTACATAGTTGTAATCAGTAAACATAGTTTGTGATCGGTGTGCTTATATGACCGTATTTTTACTGGTCAGAGATGACGGAGTGATGGCAAAGGCTACTGGTAGTGTTTTCATTTTTAGACTCACACGAGGACGTGTGATGCAGCAGGATGGCCGTGTCGGCGAGAAGGCGCTTCGATTGTGCGAAACGCCATCTGTCACCTGCAGCTGTCATCTGTCAAGATCTATGGTGCTTTGCGAAACGTCAAGTTATGACATTAACGGCTGTCATCGCTTGGGAGTGGTCTATGCTTGTTCGAAGATGGCACTTTACGTTGTGCGGCCATATTGAGCGGACGCCAGCGCAGAACTCTCCGCGTTTCGTATCGCAATCCGTTTGCATCGAGTTATTATTAATGTACTCCGATTAGATAATTAAGTAATTCAACAAAATAACTGATTTGTGATCTTATTTCGAAGGAATATCTCGACCACTAGTCAGATTGCGGATGTTGACTAACCTAACTTTCCACCGGCCCCGCATGACTTTCCGACATACATATTAAATTTCACTTTATAAAAGATGTTGTTTCCAAAAAATGGATAACTGTAAAATATTTAAGTACAAGTGAAAATGCCTCTGATATTATGACTAAACCATTGTGTAGTACTAAACATTATTATTTTCGTTCAAATTTGATTAATTAGTACAGTGTAGTTAAGGTCTATTGTACCTACTGTATGTTTATTATTTAAGGTTATTGCATTGTTTACATTGTTTTGTTATGAGGTTAGCTGTCAGATTTGATTAGAAGTGACACAGGTGTATTACTTAATGTTGGCTAAACTTTAAATATTTTTTTTGTAACAATCCAAAGTTAAATTTAGAAATATTTTTTTTTAACTTAGTATTGAGAGGGAGTGTTTGGATTTATATAATCTGTGATCTATGTAACCGTGTAGGTTTTCTCTATAACTCTCTCTGCTCTGTGGTTTTGGTAACATGTACTCGGTATGTATTTTTAATTAATAAATGATTACAAAAACAGTCGTAGCTCTCAATTTTAAGTTTTCATAATATTTACTTTTAATTGTTAACCCCATTCCCTGTCCTAGTCTGTCAGAAAACATAATTGTTTTACTGTTATTTAAATTATTTGACACCACTGGTCTGAAAGGAATTGTAATGTAAGTTGTACTTATGGATTGTGAAATAGCAGATGAATGACTGAGATCTTGTTCAAACACACTCTGTGTGTTACTGGATAATGCCGGTATAGAAGACTCATTTCGAGAACCGATTAATTGATTTTTTAATAAAGAGTCATATCTTTCAGCATTAAAATTGCAAAGATCGACTATCTCAGTAGCTGACATTATATGTTCACTTATTTGTTTTTGTGCACTTAAGTATTTTTTCTCCATATTTTCTAAAGAAGCATGCAAGTTCTGAATTTCTAGATGTAATTGTTTAGTATCCCGGTCATACATTTTTACCTACTCTCATTGAATTTTGAATTGTTAATTTCTAGTGAGTCTATTAAACTATTTTTTTCTTTTCTAAAAGTAATGTTTCTATGATAGCCTTGGTTTCGTTAAATAATTTTTTCTGTTTTAAAAAAAAAACAGAAAAAATTATTAAAATTACTAGCATAAATTAGTAAATTTATTAAATAAATTTACTAATTCGCATATTTTTTAAAAATTTTTATACTCAGTGGGTGGTGGGTTACTTCTCTATTGGTAGAAATTAACATTGTGGGGTCAAGGGTGTTCCAGGTGATGCCAGGAGCTCCTCGAAGAGGCTTTAAGTATGTTGAGTGTCCTGCAGTTGTTGAGTTTCCGCATATTGATTTATTTGACAGTTCGCTCCACGAAGTTCTCGTTCTAGGTCATCTATGCGTTGCAGAGTCCTCTCATATCTATCAAATTCCTTGCTGCAACTACTGAGGGTGTTGTGTAGTTGTTCACGTTGATAAAGCACTTCTTCATGTTGAGAGTGCAGTTCAGCGAGCTCACTCTTCAATTGTGAATTTTTTGCAATAATTTTCTTTATTTCTTCTTCACTCTCCTCACGTTCTCGGAGCAGCTGATCACATGTTTCTTTAGACCGCTTCAGTTCATCTAATGTTTGCCTTAATTTGAATTCGGTGTTTTGTGCTGTAGCTTTGCGAGTCATCATTTTTGGTTGGGAATATTATATATTCTCCTTTACTAAAAACAAAAAAAAATCAATTTGTAAAATTGGACAGTTTAAAAGTTTCACAATTAACTAACTCTATTCTATTTAAGAATCTTATTTATCAGTAAAGATGAGAGAATTGATTTCAAGTTTAATAATATCGAATAGGTGGGTAGACAAATAATAATTATACTTATTATTTATGCACTTAAGTTTAACAAAATATAACAAAAAAATAGTGTCACTTTAATATTCAATCACCAATTAGTTATAATGATGAACCTAATATACATGTGTACCCCTCTCATACAATAACTTATAATTGCTTTTTCTTATACAATTTAATCTATATTTATTATTACGATATTATCATGTACAGCAGTGATTTGTCCAATGTCCATACACTAGCATCAAAAAGATGTAACTTATTATAATCTTAGTACATTTCTGAATCTAAATCCTGAATAATAATTATTTATTTTACAATTAATTCTAATTAAAAGTGTGTGCAAGAATGATATACTGGAATAAGTAATTCTAATCACAAACAATAAATGAGTTTCTCAGCTGTGATTAATGTGAATGTTTAAATTATTCAAGTATATATTTTATAAAGAGTAGTAGTAATGAATGTCTGTGGCAACTCGGTCACCATCAACTTTACTTCCACTTTATGCTAAGTAAAGAGAGATTAACAGTACCAAACTGTTATGATTTGTGACGTTGCTCACTAATCGTGAGATCTGATAAGTGTTATGATAAGTTTGAAACTGAAGGTATTGAGAAACCAGAAATGTCACACAAAAAAAAACTAAAAAAAACTTATTTGGAAGTATTAAGTTAAATGTATAACAAAGAACGATTAATTGCTGAATCCAAAATTGTTATTAAGATCTGCAAATTACTTTAAATCTTGACAATATATGATAGGTGCCAAGAAAAAAAAAAGAAATAATATGAAATTCAATTGTAACAAAACCAAAAGAATAACCGTAATAATCAATGTGTGTTTATTGTAAACATATGAAAAACAATACTCCCCAGGTTGCAGAAGTAGAAGTCCAAATAATTTTATTGTTATTCGTTTTGAACAGCTGATTAAAAAAATCTTCCAGACCGTTGACAGATTGTTGCAGTTTGTTACGATGATTACTCAACATGAATGTAGTTTTTCACTAAGATATCACTGCCATATACTAACTATGATGCATATTCACTATTACTATCAAAATTTACTTATTTAAAACTGAATAAATAACTTAATCATAATTTTAAATACGGACGAGCACATTTGACAAGTGAGGCGGCCAGTGTTACCACTCCAAAAATATATTTACAGATATATTTATTTATTTTTATTTTATTTATTTAATTCTTCATGCACAAAAAAGGACATTGGCGGACTTAATGCCTTAGGCATTCTCTCCCAGTCAACCTTAGCGTGCTGTGGGGAAACCGATGGTGGCAAGGTGCACAATGGAACTAAAGAAGAAGATTTCTTTCCAAACAAGTAGTTACATAAAAACTTATAATACATAAAATCTATAACAAATACATATATATCAATATGCGTACATAATCTATATATACTATATACATACATATAATAAATATACGATAAAAGTATCAAATCGACGAATCCAGTTCTTTCGAAAAATAGCCACGTAACCTTTTCTTAAAAATTAATTTACTGGTGGACATTCGGATTTCTAAGGGGAGCTCATTCCGTAGAAGGATAGCCTTAACAAAGAACGAAGAGTGAATGATATCGGATCTGTGAGATGGACAGTTGAGTAAACGATTGGATTGGGAACGAAGAGTTTTAGTATGGGAATTGCATAGATATTGGAAGTGAGATGTGAGATAAGTAGGAGCGTTAGGAGAGTCCAATAACGAAAACAAGGTGGTCAGAGCTCGCATATTCCTTCGCTGTCGTATTGGCATCCAGTTTAGAAGAATTCGCTTTGCAGAGACATGATCATATTTCCTAAGGTTGAAAATGAATCGAATGCAGTTGTTTTGAAGACGGTCAAGCTTGTTGAGGAGATCTGCATTCAGGTCGAGATAGCACACATCACCATAGTCAATGATAGGAAAAATTAAGGACTGCACAAGCATTGCCTTAATATTAGGTGGTAGAAAATTTTTTAGGCGGTAAAGGGCTCTTAAAATCCCCGTTACTTTTTGGCACACAGTACTGGTTTGAGCCTGCCAATTAAAATTAGAGTCGATATATAGCCCTAAATCTTTTACACTGCTGCTGAATGGTATTGAAGTGCCGTCATACATAATACATCTGTGATTATTAACGTTAATTGTCGCCATGATTCGTGACCCACCCAGCAGTATGGCTTGACATTTAGTGGGATTAACTGCAACGCCAAAATCAGATGACCATGTTTTGATCGCAAATAAATCACTATTTAACTGATCAATGGCGTTATCCAATTCATCAATATTTGATTCAGTATATAATTGTAAGTCGTCAGCATACAGATGATACGAACACTGAAGCTGGTGAGTGATAAAATCAATAAAAATGGAAAAGAGAAGAGGAGAAAGAATGCCGCCTTGGGGAACGCCAGTTTCTAGACTGCCCCAGGATGACGACAATGTGTCAGTCTGCACCAACTGCTGACGTTCCCGAAGATAAGAAGAAAACCAAGTAGACACTTCGTCAGACACCATAAGATAAGATAGTATAGAAAGAAGGATATCATGACTGACAGTATTGAAGGCGTTGGAGAAATCTATCAGAACTAAACAAGTTATTTTACCTTTCTCCATTCCTGCCCTAATATCGCCAGTCACTTTCAGGAGTGCCGAAACAGTGCTATGTCCTTTTCTGAATCCAGATTGCAGTGGATTCAACAAGGTATTCTTGTGAACGAATTGGGAAAATTGTTTATGGACACAGGCCTCAAGCACTTTCGACATAAAAGGGAGAATAGAAATCGGACGAAATTAATTTAATTCAACTGGATTGGGAATTTTAGGAAGAGGGCGGACATAAGCTTTACGCCAGAGGGTAGGAAAAACGCCGGAATTAAGGGAGGAATTAACAATGTGCGTTATAGCAGGGAGTAGATGGTCAAGTATAATAATAATCATGCGACGACTAATGTTATCACACCCCACTGCATTGGATTTAATGGATAGCATAGTTTTTTTTATCTCTGACGGTGTCACTTGTGAAAAAAAGAAAGGGTCAATATTTGGACGCGTTAGACCATTTACATAATCTACGGTACGAGACGTAGCTAGACAATCTAAGTTCGACGACGTAATGAAATGACGATTGAGATCGTTTAAGTTTATTGAATTAGATAGATCTAAATGTCGCGATTTCCCGATACCTAGAGTTCCAAGAAACTTCCAGATATCGGCAGAAGATGATGGGTACCCAGTTACGTGGTGCTGCGCCGTGTGACAGCGGCAGCTGTTGTGGTATCACTGGGGATTGCAGGGAATAGTGAATTTCCAGCTTTAGGCAACCACTGCATGCGACGCCCCCTGCTGTTAAGAGTGTAAGATCCACGTAATTGGATATACCTCCGGCGATTTTTGTACTTACACATAGGTACAATTTTCTGCGGGTAGTTAGATATCGTTTCACGATACTCGTGTTTCTTATATTTTCACATGCTTGACTACAAAATAAATGCACTTTTAAAAGGTTCATCGTACCTGTATTGTTGAAAAATTATTTATTTATTCAGACGTTTAGGCGATCATACCTAATCTGAATTTGAATTTTAATTTAATTTAGATATTCGTACTAAGTACTATTCTTTATCTAATACTATCCACTCGGATACACTAGCATAAACATAAATTTATTACATCAATAATCTCACATAATTAGCTTTATTATATAAGTTTGCCATATAGCCAAATATTATATAATAAATACATAATATTAGTATGTACCAATTTAAATTTTAAATAGCGTGTAAGTGAAATACCTCTACGAAGCTCCTGTTTAGGTTACAAAGGTTAGGGTAAAGACCTTTGTTACCACATGATGCAATTAATATTCTATCTGTCCATCTTAAGTTTTACTACACGATATACAGGATTTTTTTTTTTCCAGTGCAAAAAATATTTTTGGTGATTCAGTATCAGTAATAGAACACTTTTCCATAACTAGTTTAATTTTTTTTTAAACATATTTTTATCCCTATTGAAACGGTAGAATATGGACACATTTTTTAAAATAAAACTTCAATGAAAACGTCTTCTCCTGCGTATACCACCGTGCATCCCCGCCGCACCCGGTAGCCCCCCGCCACAGCCCCCACCGCCCCGCCGGGACCGAGCGACGCGCGCGACAGTGGCGGCAGTGCGTATGAGACGCACGCGCCGATGTAACGTACCCTCGCGTTCCCGCGCAAGCGCAGTTCCCGCCGTTCGCGCCAATCACGATGTGAGTTTTTAGAGATGGTACGAGTTTATCTTCTGAGTGGTGAGAATCTAAGCGCAGTTCGGAGAAGGTATGCGACGGAGAGCATACCTCGTATGCGAGCCTTTGGGATCCGTAACCCCGCGGTCCCTAATGCGCGAACCAGTTTAACAGACGAAGTCTCAGAGTCAGTACCCACTATGCGGCACGTCGCTTTAGTGTGAGCCAGCCCGCGGTTTTGAAGCTTTAATACAGCCGGCCTCCATCCGTAACACTTTCAACCGGTTCAGCAGCTCCATGAACTAGACCCAGTACCACGTCGAGCCTTATGCGAGTGGCTTCTACATCATCTCAATGCAAACATCTTGTGAACGGATAAGGTATCGTTCACACGTGTGACTGTTTCTATTTCTTGTTTCTTATGGGAAGAAGTCAAACGCCGGGATGTAGAGAAGGTACAAAACCTAGAAGACTTAACATTAAAAAATAATAACGCTTTTAGTGAAGTGAAAATTCCACAGATGGCGCTGTGGCATAAACAGTGGCTCCATATTTAATTTGTTGCAAAATATAAAAACCAGTGTATTTTTGTCTAATA